CAGCCCTGGCATCGCTCCAGAACTTGAATATGGAGTACGATCAGACTGAAGGAATGGGAGGAATCTCCGTGAGTTCATACGATAGCATCGAGGATGAACGCAGTCCCATCGATGTGAGAGGTTATCCGTATCGTGGTAAGTCCTGAGCTTTTTGTATCTCTATTTTTGTGCCTATCCATCTCCCATCTATCTACCCGCAGCCCTGTCTCGGCAGATGAGCCTGAAAGTTGCATCGGTTGCGCCATCTTCTTGTCTTTTGGTTCGTTTCCCTATGTGATTTGCTGGTCATGCGGGTTTGCACAGGGCTACTGCTCAACCTTGCTCGTGCCATTGATTGTTTTCTGGGGGAAAAGAATCCTTCGTACCCTGACTGGTTTCTGCCTTACCCCCTGTCTACTTGTTCATTAATTTGACTTTCGAGTTGTGTCTGCTCAACCAGGCTGAAGGGGTAGCTGTGCGTGTGCCGCTAGGGTGCGTCTCATGGGAACTACCCACGTTGAATGCATCACAGAAACCCGGAGCTACAGGCCTGGTGGCCAGCTGAACCTCATATTGGCAGCGTTGTATCCCTCTCTTTTCTTTTTCTCCTTCGTGTGTTGTCCAATTTGTTTCCCTGTTCTTTGTGCCTCGACCCCAATTGTCCACCCTTTCTCGAGAGAGGGCCGCTGGGCCGCATCCTACTCGACGATGATCACGCAATCCGTTGCACCAATGACACCGTCTGCACCCCAATCCCTGATGGACGCTTATCCGCGCTTCACTATCTTCCTCCCTTGTCGTCCCCATGTCGATCTCAGGGTTCTGATGCCTTAACGTTGATGTCTTCCCTTCTGATATTGCTTGCCATCATCATGTTCGGTTCCTCCTCTCGTCGTGACCAACCCTCACGCAGTTAAGCTCCTCTGCATTTTGGTCTGGTCAAGCTTTTGTACTCATACTGCATACAACTAGGGGACAAATCTATCAACTACTCGCTGCCAGACCAGATGCTGTCGTATCCTGCTCATCCGATCTATCCGCCCATCTATAGTGGCGATGAACTCGGCCACCCCCAGGGGGCCATGACCCCATCGGATGTTTCCTCGTCGATTTCACCACCCAACGGGCAGCTCGGCAACATCAAGTACAGCACACCCGTCGCCGGCGAATCCATCGCTTCCGCTTTAGGTCAGGAAGAGGAACTGCGCCGCGCCGCCGAAGAGGATCGCCGGCGTCGAAACACCGCCGCCAGCGCCCGGTTCCGCATGAAGAAAAAGCAACGCGAGCAAACTCTCGAGCGGACCGTCCGGGAGACGACCGAAAAGAATGCCTCGCTCGAGGCCCGCGTAGCGCAGCTGGAGATGGAGAACAGATGGTTGAAGAACCTCCTGACCGAGAAACATGAGTCCTCGGCTGGCCGCATGGCTCCGCCCCCGACAGATAGCACGGCCCTGAACAGCAAGGCTAATGGGCTGGCTGGAAGCGGGCAAAAACATATCCAGCCAAAAAAGAAGGGCGTGGGAACTGATAATTAAGCTCCAAAAGAAAAGAGTCCTTTCCTTCCTCGTCATTCAATCATCACTTTTCTCGGATGGAAGCATCCTGGGGATTCCATTTCTATCTTCTGTCTTGCTTCGGCTCTTTGCATTTCCTGTCTTCAGACTGCTCCTCTGTCCAACCACAGGGACTGTGTCACATGACGATGTAACGACCCTCAATTTCTGCTTTTTGTCTCTTCTCTCATCCTTCATCATCTATTTTGTGTCTCGTTGATTTCCTTTCGTTTTGCAATCTAGAATCTAACTAGGTTTATCGTCGGAGTTATGGGTTCTTGGGCGGATTTGGCCGTAGGGGGAGAGCAGGTCTACAACTCTCAGTCTTGTATCCGCCGTCACTGCCAAATATTCAATGGAGTTGAATGTGCACATTCCGTAGATCGATCACTACGTACAAGGGTCGACATACTTACAGCCGACTGAAACTGAAACCATATGCTGTGTTGGCCCAGGAAGCTCCCGAGGTAGATATATAACCACCTAATTACTCTCGATATCATTCCTAAAGTTAAGAACAATCTTTATCTCAAAGCAATCAAAGGCAGGAATAATTAGTGTAATATTGCAACGTAAATTAGAACGGGATCAACACATATATCCACATCAGACTTATAAATACTGCTGCGCTTTACCACCCCGACCTGGAATATTGTTTCTGTTCAGTGAAATTGTATTAGAACCTAACCGTGACATCATGATCGGGTCAGGGTGGAAAGCGCAGCATCTGAACACCAAGTGATGGGGTAAAGGATGAGCGCCTTCCAGAGTTAAGTATTAAGTAAGAGGTAACCTCGCAGGTAGTAGATAAAACAGATGAAACAAGACATTAGGAAAAGAGGACAGAACCCCAGAGAGACAAAACGTCACCAAGCGAGTTGCGAACTGGAGTATATGGAGAAAAAAAGAAGCAAATCAAGGACGAAAGCAAGGGGATTATACTACAAGAGTCCCAAGAGCAGAGGTGATAGACAACCAGGTTCGGTTTCGCCATTACAAGCGCCATTAGCTTCTGCTTTTCTTTTCGATATACTGTCTCATCTCCGCCTCTCTAGGCAGCAGCGACCGCCTCCCTCGTCTCTTCTCGGCCCCGGGTCTCTACGTCCACGGTGCTGGAGGCCTCTTCGCCGTCTTCTCCGTAGTTTGGGTGCTGACCGGCAGGGACCCACGAGTCCCGATCGCCTCTCATGGGCTGGTCCTGCTCGGACAGGTCGAGACCCTCACGGTTCTTCTCGCGGGCTCGCTGGGACAGCGAGCGGGACCGCGTCGACAGGCTGGGCTTAACGGCCGCCTTGGACTGGACCCAGTTGGTGAGGGCCTCTTCACAGTCCTGGATGATGGCTTTGCTAGCCTCGTAGCCGTCGTAGGCCTGGCGAGTCTCGCCCGGAGTTACGGGGGTGTCGTCGACGAGGTCCAGGAGGTGCTTGCCGTATCCAGCGATGATAGCGACCTTCTCGCAGTGTTCGCGAAGCGCATCGAACTGGTACTGGAAGGCTGCCTTGAGCTTCTCCCGGGTGATGTTGGAGAGCTGCGCCTCAGCTACCAGGGATTCGGCCTCCGCGCGAACCAGCTCCTGCTCGAGAACGACGATGCGAGGAGAGCTAGGATCCTTGTACTTGAGCTTCGCGATCTCATCGGTAATCTTTTGCTTGCCTATTGAAACGTTAGTACGGGATTCTTTGGGATGCAACAAGACCAACTTACGGTCCCGGCTAGGCTGAACGGAAGCTTCAATGTTCCGAATGCTCTTGATGGTGACACGGTACTGATCATAACGATCGACAAAAAGATCTTCGAGCTCTCCAATTTCGTAGAGAAGGACACCAAGCTTGTCTGTCACATCAGAGACATCTTCATCGCAGTTTTCGCCCCAGATGGAGAGTTGTTGCTAGGATGAGTGAGTCAGCAATTGAAAGACATGTGTGCAAGCCGACGACATACAGCAGCTTCCATTCGCTCTCTAGCAACCAATTCCATGCTACGCATGACGTTCTTCTCCATCTTAACTAGCTGAGAGAGCTTCCTAGCGAGATCAGGTCCAAAGGCACCGGCGGCATTCTTGCGGAAGGCATGGCCTACCACCACAACTGTTAGTAAGACTATTACCTTCAAGAAGTCTGTCTGCATGAATAAACGCACCCAGTCCACCTTTCCCGAGCCATCTGTTGGTCTTGGTAGAAGACAATGGCGGAGGAGGATTCTCAATCTGCGACGCCGTGGGGACGCGCGACTGGCGCATAGAGTACGTGCGATGCATGGTGGATGATACTTTTCTGGCAGCGAGAGACTGACGAGGTAGAAGAAGTCGAACAAAATGAGGATATACAGCGAGGAGGGGTAATGAGGTAGAGGTGAGTTCAAAATGGAGCGGCGCGGTTCACTTCAAAAGATTTTCTCCTTGCGCACCAATGACGTGTTGTAAAGGCACAGCGGATGCCACGGAAAGGAGGAACAAGTTCAATGGGAAGGGGGGATGACAACCGGATCGAGAAGAGCGTAGGTGACGAAAGTGTAGAGAGTAAGTTTAAGAGGGAGAGGGAGAGGGTAGTAATCGGCGGATAATTCTGGGATTAAGTTGTGGGGACTGAAATGTCTCGTCTTCTTATCCTCTTGTCTCTAGCAAGATGGATCCCTCCAAGTTCGATAAGGTAAATCGAGATTTAATCAAGGGAGGCGATGAGCAGCTCGTGTGCTGCAGGAGGAGCTTAGGAGCTTTCTCCGTGAGGGACGAGAAGTGACGTCGCGATCGAGGGTCGCTAAACCCGTTTCGGCACTTGTATGGGAGCTGCCCAAGTAACCAGTGGAGCTAGCTACTACTCGGTCCAAAGGTGAAGGGATCACAATGACGAGCTTACTGGATAGATTTTTTCACTAGCCGAATTGACGAATCAGCATTTTGTGGACATTGTAACTACCTCATTTATGCCAATTCGTGATACATTTAATATGGCCGCTCACGCGGTCATACCCTGTGAAGTGTGCCTTGGGCAGCGAGAGTCGACGGCAGAAAATCAGCGACGTCATCGATAAGAGAAGTTTGCGATTGCTGATGTCATCGACAGGGCCAGAAAATGGGCAATCGGCAGTACAGACGGAGTTTGTCCAACGCAACCAGGTCATGACTATCTAGGGCAGACTGACGATGACGATGATATTTGTTCCTCATTTTTTCATCTGGTTCAGGGACATTTTGTAGAAGAAGCTTATGCATGCCTTAGCAGTAAACGATGACTGTGAAACCTATCTTGCATGGTGTAGATCAGACCGCTACAAATTGATATTTACATATATTATTAGGTATGTTCATTTGAATCTGAGACAAATCCAATGATACAGATTGATGCCTCGGGTGATCGACCCGCCGCATTCGGATCGCTCAGATCTCTCAGGATCCTTGGCTGCGTTGATCCTCCACTCTGCAACTTCATGACGAACAGTGGGTCTTCCGGACCACCGGGGTCGCCATATCTACTTGTTTCTTGACCGCCGTGTCTTTTGTTTCTTCGGCGTCATACTCACACCGTCAGCATCGGCAGAAGATGTGATGGTATCTTTAGCTTGCGCTCTCTTCCTTCCGTTGGCTTTCTTTTGACTGTTTCTAGGGGTTGTTTGATCATCTGTAGAGGCATCTGCACCAGTATCTGTCTCTCCTGTAGACGTAGACTGATGAGCCTCCGCTCCAGCTTCCTGCCGTAGACGACTGAACGCCTTCTCCATTCTGCTTTGGCCTGCTGAACGCACGCGAGGCGCGAATGCACCGGCTCCTTGAGGGCCACTGAAGAAGTTGGTGATGTTGGATTGAGTGCCGTCCTGTTCTCTGCGATTCATGTCGCGGATGACTGGTAAAAGAACCTCGTCCGTGCGTTCCTGGCTCCACCCAATCGTGGTCATAAGGAAATTTCGGAGTCCATGTAGGTCGGGAACGCCCCATTGAAATGGAGATGGATCGGAATCGACCTCGGGCTCGAGGTACGCCTTATCTACTTGCGCATCGGGGAAAGTAGGAGGGATGAAGATCTTGGTTGCAGTCTTTTTGAACTTTTTGTAGAAAGCTGCGTGAGTCTCGGGGACGTACATCCCCGTCTGAATCTGCGTCCACCAGTCACGAAACTCCTCTAGGCTGGAAAACTCCGTGAGAATTTCCAACGCGGTCACCGGCCCGATGCCACTGATCCCTTCTGTGTAATCGCTACCAAGAAGGTGCGCGAGGCTGATGAGCTTTCGCCGATGAAGCGCATATTCCTTTTCCATGTCTAAGGTGAGATAGCACTCGACGAACTTGCCTTGGTTGAACATGTTCTTGTAAACGCGGGTGCCGCCAAAGAGGAAAATGTCGCTGTCATCGGTGATGATCCCGTCGACCAGGCCTAATGAGACCAGTTCGGCGCATTGAGCTTCGGCTTCCATAGGTGCTGTAATATACGGCAAGCCGAAAAGGCTCAAGAGCTGCTGACACTCGGTGATCATCACCTGCGTCACCTCATCTGCATCTCTACGGTCCTTTTTCTGCTGGGATCGCAACTGCCTGAGCTCCTGCTCGTAGTCAAATGCGCCGCTTTGTTGCACATTGTTGTTCAAAGTGGCAACGAATCGAACGTGCTCTTCGCCTTCAGCCGCAAGTTGTCGCATCAACTCTTCGTCTTCTGGGTCGGAAAAGTCTTCGTCATCCACGTTAACCACATGTGCTTGACCACTCTCGGCAAAGGTCTGAGGTTCGTTTCCGGTCACCGTGACCTCTGTCGGTTTTGCTTCTGTCTGTATGGTAACATCTTCGAACTCGGGCTCAGGGGATGGAGAGTCATGTGCAACATTCTTGTTGATCTCGGTCGAGGGGGTTTCGGCATCTGTAGCTTTCCGTTCAAGCGGCGCTTCCTCTACCGCCTTCTCTTCATCGGAGACCGTTGGTGCTGCAACATCGTCCAACTGTATTTGCGCGTTTTCTGTACTTGCCGGTACTGCAGTATCGAGTTTCTCCGTCTTCGGTTCTGCTTCCAGGTCTATAACCTCCTCCGGTCCTGGCATCTTATCCACATCTATCACATCCGGAGATCGATGGTCTTTCAGGAAGAGATGGTCTGGAGTCATCGCTCTATCCCGATAAGCTTCCAATGAGGTGTTGTCAATCTTATCGACGACAAATTCTTCATTCAGCTGCTCCCTCGAAAACCAAGGGGGCAGCGGCAGGCTTTCCTCCTTCTTCGCGGACTCTTTTTCAAACCCACCGGCTTCCTCATCAAGCTCCTCATGTGGAGGCTTTTCCGCTTTGGAAGGGTTCAATCTGATAGATTCAAAAGGAAGTGGACCCTCGAACGGATGGTCCATGACTGGACGGGGAACGGAACTGGATGGCTTCCTTTTCGTCCTGCGAGACTGCGCCAATGCAGCGGCAAAGTCCATCTCTTCATCATCACTCTCTGCAAGACCAGGCGAAGTCTCCATTGGCGGCGCAGCAGGCACGTCGTTGCGGTTAAGTGGGATATCTGGCATGTCTTCGACACGGGAAGCGGAGGGCTCCAGAGACATTGCGATTGCTCTTTGGAGATCTTCATCTTCACTGTCGATAGTGCCGCCAGGAACGTCATCGATATGGTGGCGGTGATGAGGCAGTGCACCTTCTAGGCCACCGTCTTGAACAAAGAGGGAGTTATCCTCAGTCTCCTGGAACAACGAATCGCGCCTTCTGGAAACACCGGTCATCTGCTTCTCAATCAATTCGTCGGATGCGCCTTTTTGAGGGAAATTAAGTTTGGGAAGTCGGTTGAGACCTTCAATAGGAACGTCCTCGAATGCACCATCATCCCCATCTGAAGCTTCTTCGTGGTCAAAAATCACGTCCCCCTGGCCGTATCGGTCCACATCAATAGGTCTATCGGCATGACCTTCACCTTTGTTGCCCACAACACCGAGCACCCAGCCGCCCTCAACTGCGTTGTCTTTGACGAGTACGTATTCTCTTCCTCGTTCGCCGGCGATTCGCTGCCCTGAGTTGTAGAAGGCTTCTTCACCGTTCATGCCGTTCAAATTCATCAACCGCTGCGTGAGATCGTTCCTTTCCTTGACACGCTCAATCTGAAATTTCGAGAACGCCATGCGGTCTGGGAACATATTGTCTAATTGTTCCTTGGAGTAGCCCATACGCAGACGACTTCTAAGTCTGGCAGCATTCAGGATATTGTACCGATCTGTAGCAGGTAAACTGATGAAGAAGGGGCTGTCAAAGTCAATTTTGGAAAAGTCGTAGAGATTGATGTCCTCGCCCTGGTGGAATTGTCTCGCATATTCTTCCAGCTCCGCGCGAGACATAATGCGAGGGTCGTTTGGAGCTCCCATCTCCTCCAACGAAACGTGCAAGTCTGGAAGATGGTACGCATCCTTCTTCCTGAACGCTCGGCCCTGCCGCTTCTCTTTCTCTGTCAAGTAGGTCTCCTCAACATAAACCGGGTTGTCCGGCACCTCCTCTTCATCTTGTCTCGAAGCTCCCTTTTTCTGCCTGGCTGCTTCCTCTTCTGCGGATCGCTGCATCTGCACTGCAAGCAGCTTCCCAGCCGTTCTCACTGCATCTTCTCTGCGGCCTTCCCGGCGCTTCTTTCGACCGGCAATCGTCTGCCGTTTCAAGATGGGGGCTCCACCATCAAAAACAAACACCGGTTTAATGCCGAAGTACAGCAGCTTGCATATTCGACGGAAGAAGCCAACAATATGGGAATTACGTAGAGCATTACCCTCCTTGTCTCGTACGGCTTTGAGGAACTGATATATCCAGATTGACGCGTCAACTGCGAGACGCTTTTTGTTAAGCGTCTCGAGCTTGATAGGTCGAGCGCACGGCTGGACAACTGTCCACAAGCCCGTAACACCCATGCTGACAAGACAGCTGAAGTGGTACTATTGCCAAGGAATATCTGGCACAGAAGGTAACATGGCTGATGTAAAAGTCGTAGAGAACGTTTACATTGTATACAGCCAGTTATTCATGCAGATTGAGCAAGCCGAATACCCAACAACGTCGCAACGGCTGCAGATATTGCAGTTCGTATTGACAAATGCATGCCTACACGTCGCCACCTGATAAAGCTTCGAGGATCGCGATCTCACGTGAGTAATTAACCCGCTTCAGGAATAGACTACCGATAAGGGAGCCTTACATAATAGCCTCACTTGCGATAAGAAATTCTGGAAGTTTGGATTATTGTCTCCGCGCGGGGGAAGTCGGCGAATGAAGAATTAATCAATGCGCAATTTTTGAGTTAGATTTTGTAGCAGGTAAGACTGATGTCCTTCTGTGACATCAATGCATTCCTCGCTCGAGGTTAGTGGATTATCAGGTCGCCGTTGACACCGTAGTGCTGACCAGCAACACAGCACATTGATGCCTGCCTCCCCGTAACTGCGCTAAAAGCGCTGGTTCTGGGAGACACGAGGCTCATCATTCAAGGCCAAGGGCCTTATTGTCAAGTGGTCAAAGAGCAGAGTGGGAAGCTCCTGGCAAAGCTCAAACCCTTCAGGAGAAACAATGTCCATGGATTCATTCTCCTGACTCAACACGAGCACGAAGCTGAGAAACCGTACACACGACTTGTGGTGTGGGGCGGAAGCTCGTTAAGGGTCATTGACCTGTCCCTGGCTAGAAATGATGCTTCTGGAGATGTGGAAGTTTCTCTGCAAGTTGTAACTGCGGAATGCTTGGCCCCAGATTGGATTCTCGCTGGATGTTCGCCAGACCAGAGCAGCAGAGCAGACCGAGCTTATGTGGTCACGGCTCATAACGCCATACTCAGTCTACATGTGGTAGAGAATTCTCATTCTGTCAACACGATCTACCTACAGCAACTGGTTACGGGTGTCAAGTCCATTCTTTTCTCCGCTGACACGGTAGTGCTGTCGTCTTCTCACATTTTAATTGCTGGGGGAACCGTCTTTGGCGAGATCATAGTCTGGTCTTGTTTTGTAGACGACAATGAGAGTCAACCCTTGGCGCTCAGTGCAGTTGGCTCCATCCATCACTTTTTCACTGGCCACGAGGGTTCTATTTTTGGGGTTCGGATATCACCTCCTATCAGCTCCTTACCGGGAGGCCAACCAGGAAGGCTTTTGGCTAGCTGTAGTGATGATAGAACTGTCAGGGTATGGGATATCACGGACTGTGAACATGCTTCCCGTCATGATCCTTCTGCCTACTCGACAGATGGCTTCGAGTTACGGACAACAGGGTTTGGTGCCGTTGCAACCACTGATGATAAATCTGGTTCAGAATCATGTGTTGCAAAGGCATTCGGGCATTCAGCACGAATTTGGGGTGTTCATTTCGTGCCCACGAGGGTGGAGAATCAGAGCAAACTGACCATTGTGTCTCGTGGTGAGGATGCTAAGTGTATTCTGTGGGATCTGAGTTGGAGTCTGTCGCCAACGCATAAGACCGAATTCAAACTGACTCAGGTATCGTCTCCTCATCTCCACAACGGCAAACATATCTGGTCACTCGACTTGTGCGGCTCCGGGATACAAACCACGATCTACACTGGAGGTGCAGACGGCTCTGTCAGGAGCTTCAAAATAGACGTAGATGATGCGGCGTCGATCTCATTACCGAATAGGGATAATCGCATTATGTTTTCAAGCGATTCTCGAAACACAGTTCCTGCAAGAGAAAGGTCGTTCAAAGCTTTCGCATTCATCTCACCGGAGTTGTTCGTTGCAACTACTTTCCAAGGTGAGATCCAGCTTTGTTCGTTACGAACAGACAGTGGTAAAGGACAACTCATCTTCAAGGAGACTCTGCATGTCGAGGACGATCTCCGGTCTTTTTCAGTAGTTTCCAGTCTACCACAGAAGGGAGTGGCGCTGCTTGGCAATGCACGCGGTTTGATCCGACTCTATACTCACAGTACCGGGTTGTTGAACCAAGTTGTACTAGCAGATGGCCGACCTCTGCAATTGTACTTCCTTGGGTATGATACTGACGCACCAGAAGCCTCGGCGACTCTCACGTTCGCGATATCCTACGCAACACTTAGAAAAGCAGATCTCTTTCAGGTCACCATGCAAGCGACTGCCGAGCCTAAAGTTGTCAAGACAGAATTGTCTTTACCTCATGGTATGGAAGTATCCTGCGCTTCCTGGATCTCTAGTCAGTATCTGGCATTGGGAATCAAAAGCGGTGCACTCTTGGTATACAGACTTGGAGAAATTGGAGCGTCTCTACAGCCGATCATTTGCGCTCTGAGAGTCCATGGACGAGAGGGCGTTAACCAGATCACCCAGTTCTCATCTCTGTTCGAAGAGGCGGAACTTTCAACAGACTACTTCATGACCTGTGGCCGAGATGGCGATTACTGCATCCATCAGCTGGAGGCGAAGGGAGGGGCGGATGTTCGTCTCCGTACAATCCATCGTTCCTCCCCTGCCGTGCACTTGAACGTTGAGGGAATCTATGTCGACCGAAAATCACGAGACTTTATGCTTTATGGATTCCAGAGCACTGAATTTATCCTTTGGAATGAAACGACTCACACTGCGGTGGCCCGAGTCGACTGCGGCGGAGCACGTCGAATTTGGGACTTCCACCCGAGTCATGAGACTCCCGGGGCTGGGATACTCCTCTGGAGTCAATCCGGGTTCAATGCTCTTCGGATACAGGCCGGAATCAACCGTACCTTACGTGCCGGCGGTCACGGCAGAGAAATCAAGTCGATGGAGGTATCTTGTTCGACACCCGAGCGGGAGACTCTCATTGCGACTGGAGCAGAAGATACCCATTTACGCATTTTTACGCCTGTTCACGAGCGCAACGACACTTCATGGGGCTCATGCAGATGCCTGCGTGTTCTTAGAGATCATACGGCTGGAGTGCAGCAAGTTACCTGGTCAATAGACGGGAAAACGCTTTTCTCTAGCGCCGGGTTCGAGGAGCTGTTTGTCTGGAAGGTCCGGCAGATTCCCTCGTTTGGTCTGGCAACCGTTCTTGCAGCCTCTAGTCCCAAGGATGACCCGACGTCCGAACTGCGAGTGACGAGCTTCGACGTGCTGGACGTGGAGGAAGACGCTGATGGTGGCTTTCTTATTTGCCTGACATTGTCAAACTCCACGATCAAGGTAAGCTTCTTCTTTCGTCTCCTTGGTCCAATTTTGCTAATATTATAGATTTTCCATTACTCCTCCGTGGTCGATGGGGGTCGCTTTACCCTCCTAGCACGAGGCGCCTACACAAGCAATTGCCTCACGCAGGTACGGTTCCTGGTAGATGGTTCATCGATCGGGCTCATTACTGCATCTACGGACGGACACTTTACATTATGGCACTTGGACCCTGTTCTAGAGCCTTACTACTCGACGTCGGCGTCGACTTTGCGCTTGAAGCAACCATTGGAGGCGCTATCTATTTCTCCACCGAACATTGCATGCGAGAATCGGTACAAAATCCACTCGAACAGCATCAAAACCCTGGAGATGGTCCGTATATCAGCGAAAACGTCGCTGATTCTCGCTGGAGGGGATGACAATGCGCTCACGCTTTCTCTACTATCGGTGGACTTCGCCGACGCAGATGCAGGAAATGATGTGTGCACAATCACGATTCCAGACGCACATGCCGCCTCCGTCACCACCATCAAGATACTTGAACAGCGGCAGTCAGACAGCCAGGCGAAAGCGCAAATTGTTTTCGCGTCCTCAGGCAACGACCACCGGGTCAAGGTCTGGTGTGCGGAGGTGGATGCCACGCAGGGCGAACCGGGATCCATTCGAGTCGAGAATCTAGTTGATCAGTACAGCGCCGTGGCTGATATATCGTCTTTGGACTTGATGCATGACGAGTCAGGGACTAAGTTGCTGGTGTGTGGCGTCGGGATGGAGCTGTTCAGTGTGCAGCTGTACTAGCGCCACCTTCACGCTCCATTATGTTTACGACGTAATGGCTGATTCTTATAATCCAACTTTGGAACCTTTTGGATGGGTTAAAGATATAGCAGGAATTGCTTCATTACTTGTACATATACCTGACGGCTGGCCAGTTTTCACTGTGTGCCGATGTCTATACACCTCCTCAGCATAGAATCAAACCTGTTCTCATTGATACAACGAAGATCCTGTTTTGCAAGAATGTCCTCCACAATTTCTGACATTCTGTCTCTTCTCCGTTCTCACTCGTTCTTCCGTGACCAAAGCGGAATAGCCAAGTCCCCTATGAACTAATTTGCTGTTTCATCTCTGCAAGCCACGGCACATGTTGAAACTTAACACACAATGAAGAAAGTAATGAGGATCGTCATAGTTATGGCTTGGTTCTTCCTTATTGCCGGATATTTACCCCGCATTTGATTTATGCATAGCAATCTGGGGTTGATATTCTGTGACTTGTCTCACTGGGTGACTCTTGTCCGCCGAGTCGCTGATGTGCAGAATCAGGATAACCGGGTAAATAGTCCATACCACAGGGAGACTTGTGACCATGAGATGTTTTACAGCTGTATATTGACTTTTACAGACAAGGCCAAGGTGCACGGCGCAAGGGATGGCGTTGGATTGGTGGATTCTAGTACCTTGATGGTCACTACAAGAACTGTCGCCGTTTATATACGTGAAGACTGTCTGATGACAACATATTGAAAGGTGGAAGGTTTTATAGATTTTGTTGAGGATAGTCATGAAGATGAAGTCTCAACTGCTCTGGCTGGTGGCAAGCACCATTTCCACAGGTGCTGCAAACCCCATCAAACGGGCGTCAGACACGACGTACTTCTTTACATTGTAGGCTGCTCTCCCTATCCTGTTTTTGATGCTGCGTGAAGGGTAGGCTGACCTCGCAGTGGCGATTCATACTCGCAAACCGGATTCAGTACGTCTGGAGAACAACCATCTGCCTC